GAGCTAGTAGAAGTTAACATTCCTACAATATTTATTTACTATTTTCATATGTTATTACGTTTTTTATTTTATGAACCGCTGTGAAATAGACATTTATGTATCCCTATTGGTCATGTTAATTTATGTGAAAGGAATGTAAACCCTAACGTTATTATACGCTTCCGCATTTAATTTATGACATTGTTTCTATTTAAGTTCTGAGTTTTTACATTTTCTTTTAAAATTAAACTATTGTTGTGCATAATAATTTTTTTAATTACTGTATACTTAAGTCAAGTTGAACGCTGGAAATCCTGAATAGGCGATTTAGGCCCTTTACAATGTTTGGGCTTTTACAATATTTGTGATTGAAAAAATCAAAATGTAGATTCTAATTTCTTACCAAAGTGTAGATGTTATATGACACTTTTAATTAATGAATTTTTTTAAAAAAGTTTAATATTTTAAGGTAAGAGTTTATCCATTTTTTGTTGTAATTTTAACATAGATAACTAAACTTAATAAAATAAGATAAACTTTCAAATAAATGGTGAAAGATAAAGACAGAATACGTAGATTTTATTTAATAAAAGTATTTAATTCAAATAATACAAAATTTTTATTTTAGAATTGATAACTCTGGTTTTGAGTTATATATATATTTTTAAAATATATATTTTAATTATATATAATTCAAAGAGTTGTATACAAATAGAAATAGAATTAGAATTGAAAGTATACAGATTAAAATATTTAGGCTAATTTTTTTAGAACGAGATAAGACAATTTTTCTTATTTTCTTGGTACATAGAGGGATAATTGGAAAATGTTAAACTACTCACTAGTTATAGCATTCGATGTTTTAAGGAAAATGATAAATGTTTGAGTTGAGAATATTTTGATTAAAAAGAATGAAAATTTGTTGCAATTAATATGGGAAAAACGGCTTGTCTCAATCACACACAATCTCCCTGCACGCAGCTGGCTTGCCACGTATTCTACAATCTTCTCACACAGGAAGAAAACACTATAACTTATATATATATATATATATTATTGTAAGGAAATTTGCATTTCCTAAAATTACATTAATGAAAAAATATTGTACAATTTAATACTTGACTAAAAATTTCATTTTATTAAATATTAAATACATAATTTCTACATTATTAAATAATTAAAATTAATGAAAAAAAATTTTTTTAGTAAACTTCCAAACACATCTGAAGGGCCTTATCTCCTTTTTTTTGTTTTTTTTTTTTTGCAGGCTTATAAATATGTAATACCACTTGGTTGGTCGACTCTATGGGTAGTGGATTTTTGCCCTTCTTATCTTAAAATTCATCACTATAGTTTTATCCAAAAATACAAATTATAAATAATTTATTTGATTTCCCTTTTGATGTAGCTCTTTTATTAAATTCAGATAAATCATTTGATTTAATACACAAATTGTCATAAAATTACGATGATAACAACATTTAATTTCATCTTTTTATGGTGTAATAACACTAATTAGAGCTTGAATTTATCCAAGGAAATGTAGCTTTAATGGTCAAAGAAGTTCTTGTTTTTAATGAAATAAAGAAAACTTTATTAGTTTTTAACCAACCCGTAAAGGTTTAAAAATATATATGAAACGTTTTGTGGAGTCCAAAAGCTACAAAACGTTTCACTATTTCCTTCTTTCTTTCTCTCCTCTCTAATATTCCCACCTTAAAAGTTTTTTCTTTTGGAGTGCCAATAACGAGAAAAGTTTTACTACCCAATCCCCATTGCCACTATCTCTCTCTCTCTCTCTCTCTCTCTCTCTCTCTCTCCCTCCTTCCCTCCCTCCAGCTCGCCCTCTCCTCTAACCAGCGTCCTTTTTCTCTATAAAAAGTCTTGCTTTAACTTTAAATATTGAAGCCTACACATCAAGTTTACAGCATCATACAGAGTGTGAAGCTAGCTTGCTTATATTATTCTCTCTTTTATTGACTCTTGAAGTTACTCCTTGGAACAACAATCCATCTCCTTCTGTTACTCCCCCTATTTATTGCTTCTTCTTCTCACATGTAAGCTTACCCATTTTACTTCCCTTTTTCTTTTTAATACATACATATAAGAGCAGTACCCACCACTTGGGTTCTTGACTTTTTGGCTTCATTTTCTTGTTATAATCAGACTTCGATTGAAAATATAGAAACTTGGCTTTGCCATTATAGGAAGGTTTCGTTATGTTTGATTAATTTTTTATGCTTTCGTCTTTATTTCACTGTTTGATTGAATCTTTCTTTCACATATCAAATTTCGTTGCGGAAGTGGCTGTTTTTCTTCAACTAAACGAAGCATGGCGGAGAAAGAGGAGCCGGATTTCTCTTCTCAGTTACTACCCTCTGTTTCTCAGGTAACTCATACAGCTAGCATAAAGATATTGAATGCAGAGCTTCGGGTGTTTACTGGGTTTTTAACGTTGACAGGTGGTCGAGGAGCTGAAAGAGCTATGGAGCATGGCTTTGCCCGTAACGGCCATGAACTGCCTGGTTTATATCAGAGCAGTGGTGTCCGTACTATTTCTGGGCAGACTGGGAAGCTTGGAACTAGCCGGCGGGGCGCTCTCCATAGGCTTCACCAACATCACGGGCTACTCTGTTTTGGTGGGTCTGGCGTCGGGACTGGAGCCAGTTT